CATTGGCAGCCCAAGGCACATGACCGAGTACTCCCATGATGCGATGACATACGTGCAGAATTATGGATCGCAGTCAATCAGCAAACGATCGTCACGATGTCACCTTTCAAACAACACTTACGATGTTTGATGGACTTTATGTTGAAGCAACGTATATGTGGTGCTGTTATATGCTAGATGTACTCTGTTAAGTGGCAAAAAAGAGGTTTGCCGCACGCACACACTCTTCTTTGGATGGTGGTTACATCAGATCAAATTGATGAAATCATTTCTGCGGAAATTCCTGATCAAGAGAAAGACTCAGTATTGTTAAAAGTGGTGGATCTGACGGACACTACAATCCCTTTTCTATGTCTGACAATAAATGCACGAAACACTATTCACCTGCTTTTCATTTGGAAACACAAACGTGAAATGATGGATATCCACTCTAGAGAATCGCTCACCAGATAACAATGGCAGAACATTCAGTATTCAATTTAAAGGTCTGAAAAACGAAGTTGAAAACACATAGGTCGTAATATATTCCCCACTATTGCCTAATTCACATTCAAAACTCAAATCAATGTTGAGTACTGCAGTTTAGTGAAATCGATCAAATACGTCACTAAAGGAAGGAACATGGCGATTATTGGTCTTGAACGATACGATCGATTCCTGAACTGTAATAAAGCGCTTTGTAGGATATTTACTTTGCGATTCATGAACGTTTTCTGACTGTTGTGCGCCTCGCAGTTAATTTGGAGGAAGGCCAAAGAGTGTATTTCAACCCAGAGAATACAGTACAGCCAGTGGAAACACCGCCAGCAACAAAATTAACATTGACGAGTTTTTTTCTCAACTTTCGTCACTGATCCGTTTGCGAGAACATTACTCCATTCGGAAATACCTTGATATTATATATGGAATGCATCGTCGAAGAAATAGTTACGTAGAAAGCAAGGACAACCAGTAGATGGACATCCAGGTGTGTTCTCAACTAATACACTAAGACGAATTTACACAATCCGCCCGAAGAACGACGATTGCTTCTACCTTCGGTTGCTATTGATTAATGTACGCGGTTTAACTTCATTTGAGTCATTGCGTATTATGAATGGTACGGTATGTGCAACTTTTTGAGAAGACAGCCATCAATTTCATTGCTTGAACGTGATAATCACTAGAATCAAACGATGAACATACGATAGCTACTTCGAATACAAATGAAGATCGCATACTTTTCGCGATAATAATTTCGACATATCAGCCTTCAAATCCGCGTCAATTACTTGATACGAACTAAAAGACATTTTACATAGTATTCACTAAGAATTGGAAATGGGTAGATTCCGGTTGATGCTTTCGGTGGTTCGATATCAATTCCATCTGCCGTTTATCAATTCACGAAAGATGAACTCATAACAAACATTCAGACGTTGGACAAATTATCGTAACTATGATTTCTTAAGTGCACGCGCAATGTTAGTGCCAAAAATACCGATGTTGTTGACTTAAACTGAAAGATTCAAAGTTAAATTCTGGGACACTTGCGCTTATTCAAATCGATCGAGCGTCTTGGTAATTAAGGAGTCGCCGTGAATTATACAGTGGAATTTCTAAATTCTTTGGAGAGGCTTGGAATGCCACCGCATCATTTCCGTTTCAAAGTAGGATCAGTCGTTATTATATTTCGCAATCTTCATATGCCGAAACTGTGTAATAAAACCCGACTGATTGTGACGCAGCTGTCGAATACGAAGAGGCAGAATGCTTGATTCTTCGCATTCCTTTGAGTTTGATTTGCAATTTCAGTTCAAACGTATTCCGTTTCAAGTGAAGATTACATTTGAGATTATATTCAACAGGGCACAAGGATAGTCGCATAGTGTGTGGCATAAATTTGGAAATGCTATGTTTTTCACATACGTGGTGTGCTCACGAGTTGCAAAACCATCTCTTCTGTACACAGGAAGAGAAACCAAAAAATGTTGTTTATCAAGCTGCGTTACATTGAAAAAAAAAATTAAATGATAAATTCATCTTTCTTTTCATTTCAAAGCACATAACTTCACGCAGAACAAGTTTATTAGAATGTTATATAATAATTTGGAATTACGTTCAGAATACTACATAAGTACTTTCGCGCAGTCCTTTTTTTATGTTGGCGGGCTTGGGCCGCGCTTTAAAAAAATTACCCTGGTCGAGCCATTACCCAGGGTGACTGATGTATTTTTGCTTAGTACTCCTTTCCCTATACTTTAAACTTTATTATGTATTCTTATACATATGTATATAAAAATCAAACGTTTTTTTGTATGTCCGCGCATTACGCCCGAACCACAGCTCGAAAAGACGTGAAAATTTGCACGGGTTCCCTTAGTAATGAAGAAGGCGCCTAACGGCGCCCTTTTTCTGCAAAATCACCCTCGATTTTGCAATTATATCTATATTTATAACTCAAGAACGGCCGAAAAAATGGCTAAAAATTGGTGATGAGATAGCTTGGAGCCTCGGGACTTACATAGGCTACATTCTATGGTTTTTTATGTAACATAAGCATCAGGGATAATTGATGCCCAACTTATTCCAGTGTGAGAGCGCCTCAAAATAAGCGTTTTTTATAACATTTTCCATTATGGCCAGATCGCACCAAATAAGAATTTTTGGACATTTTAAATTAAAATACCCAACATTTATTACGATTGCAAATTATTATATATTTGACTTTT